AAAACATAGTGTAATTGATTTATGCTCCTTTCTTAAGTCTGCCTTTAGTATGACTTGTCCAATACACTCATTCCAAAGGCTCTCTTTAACGATTCTTTGACTTCCTTATTCCTAAAGCTATATATTATAGGGTTCAGCATTGGATTGATAACAGAATAAAATATAGAAATTAGTTTATCATTCTCTGGTGAGTAACTGGATTTTGGCCTCATATACATGAACATCCCTGTCCCATAATAGATTATCACCACTGTCAGATGAGAAGAGCATGTTGAAAAAGCTTTCCATCTGCCACTAGTGGTGCGGATCCTTATTATTGCATCAATAATATAGCCATAGGAAATCAGAATTAAGATAAAGGGCAGCATTAGTGTGCCCAAGCCCCCAACTAACATCAATAATTCATTTAAGGAGGTATCAGTGCAAATCATGTGTAGCAGGACAGGAGCCTCACAGAAAACATGATTAATGACATAGGGTGCACAAAGTGGAGGCAAACTTAAGTAGAGTGGGACAACTGAAACTAAAAAGCTAATTGTCCAAGAAGCAGCTGCAATTTTAATGCAAGTTTGGGAATTCATTATTACGGTGTAACGCAGGGGATGACACACTGCTATAAAGCGATCAAAAGCCATCACGGCCAGTAGGATACATTCTGCTGCTCCCAGAAAGAGAGAGACATATGTTTGTCCCATGCACATATGATAGGATATGGTTTTCTTGGTCGATATCAAGTTGGACAACATTTTGGGGACCACAGCAGTGGTATAGCAAAGGTTAAGAAATGCCAGATTTTGAAGGAAAAAGTACATGGGAGTCTGCAAATGCGGATCTGTAGCAGTCAGGATAATGATGCCAATATTGCCAAGCAGGATAAAGAGATAGATGAAAAAGAAGATGGTAAAAAGCACAGGTTCCAATGTGGGGCGATCTGAAAAACCTAAAAGAACGAATTCCCAGGCTTCAGTTTGATTCATTTGGTTCATTGTATCTCATTGAATGCAGTTACTGATGAAACTTGGAAAACAACAAGAAAAAAAAAATAGTCAGCACTAAAAAGACAATGTATTTGGTATGATTGGTGGGTGGGTGAGTGGGGGAGCTACCATTATGGAACCTAAACTTAAGCCCTAGGCAAGGATTAAAGGAAATATTGCATTGAATTTGCCTTTGAACCCTATAGAGTCATTTAATATGCTGATTGCTTATATATTATTTTAGAGGAAAAAAAGAGCTGCTTCACATATTTACAGAGCAGGGGTGAGGAACCAGTACTGTTCCAGATGTTGCTGAACTACAGTTTCAGGATATTTTCATTATTTTAATTTACCTTTGTTATTGCTGTTCTGATTATCCATTTTTGGAGGAAAAGCATAGAGATAGGAAATGAACAATCAACAATGATGATTGTGGCTACTGATAGTTGCAGTTTAGCCACGGTTATTTAGCGATTCCGTTTTAGCAATCAGATGAATTGCTATGCAGTTTCAAAACTGAGATTAAACAATGAGACAAGTTGCAAAAAATCAGCTATATGTGAGCTGTCCAAAGCAAAATATATTATATCAGGATTTTTTCCCCCTTCCTCTCACTCTTTTCCTCCCTTTCACCTATATGTGTGTTCATTCAAGGTATAGTATATGTAAATCAAGGCATTAATATATTAATTACTTATTACTTATCGTAAAAAAAAACTTCATACATATACTTACAAATACCATATACTATAGGACATTTTCACTAATAACTTAATTTCATATTTTTAAGCTGACAGGTTACTTGTATATTTTAAAAGAGAAGAGGAAAAGGAAGCGAAAGGAAAAGCACATAATTTTTGTCTTACGTAACATGTTCTAAAAATCAGTTAGCCTTAAACCAGCTATTAAATTCAATACCCTTGGATGTGACTGACTTTTTCTAGCCCATAACATTCTATTTATTTAAGTGTTTATATTTGTTTCTAAAGAAATTAATGGAATTGGATGAAATTATGTAACCTACCCACTTATTGCCCATATGAGTAATGCATGGATTCAGAAGATGTCAGTAAAAACTCTTGTATATGACAGCTCTACTGTTATAGTGAGAAACTCTCAGGTGTCCAATTAATTTTATCTCAAACTCAAAGGAGACTCAGCAAAACTCTTCCCCCCCAACACATCATTACAATGCACATAAAATATACATTATATAATATACACCCAAGCCACCTAGAGATTATATGCTCTTGTAACTCTGTCACACAAACAGAATTTGCAAAATGTGGTAATGCTCAAAAGATTAAAATGGGATTCATAGCAAGAATGTACCAAACTGTTTCTTCCTTAGGGACAAAGCAAATATGGAGGTCCTAAATCTTTCCCCTCAAAACCACCTGAAAGTCCTGTAAAGTTTCTAATTTTCAATAATTAAACTGGATATTTATCTAACAATTAATAGTTCAGGGATAATATTTAAATTCCAAATGATCCAGCCAAGAAATACTAAAACAGGGAAAGTGCAGAAAGAAGAAATCTTACTTTTGACTCCTTGTCTTTATTAGATGTATATCCAGCCTTTACTTTTATACAATTCAAGAGCATGTATACGGTGCTCCCTCCTCCTATTTTCCTTACAGTAACAAACCTGGGAACCAGTGTGACAGAAAGTGACTTATCCAAAGTCATCCAGTCAGCTTCTGTGCCTAGGTTCTCTTAAGTTTCTAGCCTAGTACCAAATCAACCTTCCTTCCTTCCTTCCTTCCTTCCTTCCTTCCTTCCTTCCTTC